TTAAGACAGCTAAAATGTCTACTGAAAAAACCACAGTTTTGTAATGAAAAAAAAAGGCACTAATAAGTCGGGTATTTTGAAAATATACCCCAGGCACAAACATTTTCAGATTCCCTTGGTCATCTCAGCTCTCTATAGAGAGGATGACTGTGCTCTACTGGGCTCTTACTGTATCTTCTAGATCTTGATTTTTTTTTTTACACATATTCCCTCTCCTTTCCTAAGCCAGTGATTGCATATCCAGCATTAACATTACTTCAGTCTGGTTCCTTTGGGAAGAGAAACAGGAATTCTCTCATGTCTCATTTTTATGTTCTATTACCAATAAAAACAAAAAGTGCCAGAGGTTGAAATATCTGCATGTGATTCTTGCTTCTGCTCCCTTATTCCATTGATCCATTTCAACAAGGCAAGGGCCATGATTAATCTAAACCATTTCCAATAGATAAATAATTCCAAAGCTTTGCAACAGCTGCAGTAACTGCAAGGCATTCACAGAGACTACCTCTTCTCACAAAAAATAACAGCCGACTAACATACAGTCTTAGCTGATTCTAATCCTTATGTTACTGAGAAAGCAGTGGTTCCTTCTGACACTCAGAAGGATCCACTGGGAAGCAAAAAACTTTATGAAATGCAATGCACATTACAGTGCTTACACAAGGCTTAGTTTCTTTTTAAAAACGGATTGTATTTAAGAATGTGGCATACCCTTCTCGTGGCAAATGACGTGTCATTAGGGTGAAGAGTTACAGCTATAACACAAACAAGCTTCCAATGCTAATCCGCCAGAAAGTTGCTTTGAGTCATGGAGGGATGTTCTTGCCCTGAAATTGTGTTCAGTCTTAGGGTAATTTTTCTAGAAGATTTCAGACTTCCCCATCAGAGACAGGCTGCCTACTTCCCCCTCAGCTGCTCCCCATCCGTCACGGGCTCCTCTCCTCTCTGCTCCACTGCAAAGCTCAGAGGGGCTGCTAGTCTGATCACCTCTGGTCCAATCTAATTTCAAGGCTGTATCTTTTCACTTCTAAGCCAACAGCTGTAGGGACTTCAACAACTATTTACCTGAACTGGTGCCAGAAGGACTGGTCTATTATCACTAGCCATTCCCATATGCATTTTTCATCGATGGATGATTTATCTTCCCAACGCACACTGTGCTAAGGAAACAGGCCAGGTCTCTGCTGGCCTCAGCCTCACCGAACGTTTCAGGGGTGCTCTGCACACTAGCAACCCCAGTTTTTCCAGTTCTGGCTTTTTCCTGATCTAAGTCAATGCCCTGGTTTTACAACAGAATCTGAGCACCAGCTCCATCAGCAGGACCTAAGCAGGGACAGCATCAACCCTCCAAGGCCTGGGGAGGAATGTAGAGACACTGTTCAAGAATCCAGGGACAGGGTTAGGCAAGTCAAAGCCTATCTACTGAATCAGGTGAATCTGGTGAATCTGGTAAAAGGCAATAAGAAGGGCTTCCACTGACTTTTCAGCAGTAAAGGAAAAAAAAAAAAAGGTTTAGGAAGAACATGGAAAGGGGCAGGGATTTGGTGACAAAGGACTTGGCAAAGGCCAAGGTGGTCAATGTCTTCTTTGCCTTGGTATTTACTGTTAAGACCAGCTTTCAGTAATCCTAGGACCCTGAGGCAAATGGGAAAGGCTGGTGCATGGAAAACATACCCTGAGCAGAGTAAGTTATGGAACATTTAAACAAAGTGGAAAGACATGTGTTCATGGGGCCTGATGGGATGTGTCAAGGGATTGCAATGACAGCTTCCAGTTCTTGAGAGCAAGAGATTTCTGTGGACTGGAGGAAAACAAATGTCACTAATATCTGTAAGAAGGGCAAGAAGGAGCATTTGGGGAACTGCAGGCTGGCCAACCTCACTTCATTTCCTGGGAATGTGATGGAGCGAATTTTCCTGGAAACCATTTCCAAACATATCAAGGACAAAGAGGTGACTGGGAGTAGTCAGCAAGGATGTATGAAGGGGAAATGTCAGATGAGAAGGTTGGCTCAGTGATGGGGGGAGAGAAGTGGATATTGCTCACCTTGACTTTAGTAAGGTTTTCGACATTGCCATGACATCTTCATAGACCAGAGTGGGCCAGGTAACATGTACTGGAAGCTGAACTGTCAGGGTGAGAGCTGCAATCGGCATCATGAAGTCCAGCTGGAGACCAGCTCCAAATGTTGTCCCCAGCAGCAGAGACTGAGGTCAATACTGTCTACTGTCTTCGTTAATGATGTGGAAAGTGCACCCTTGGCAAGTTTGCTGATGCTACAATATTGGGAAGAGCAGTTGATATGCCAGAGGACTATGCTGCCATTTAGAGGGACCTCAGCAGGCTGGAGAGATGGACAGAGAGGAACCTCATGAAGTTCAGCCAAAGCAAATGTGGAGTCCTGCACCTGGGAAGGAATAACCCCATGCACCTGTGCAGACTGGGGGCTGACTAGCTCAAAAGCAGCTTTGCAGAGAAAGTCCTGCTGGTCCTGACAGGTAACAAGTTGGATGTGAACCAACCATATGCCCTTCTGTCAAAGAGGGCCAACAACCTCCTAGGCTGTGCTAACATGACCATCGCCAGCAGACTGAGGGAGGTCATCCTTCCCCGCTGCTGAGCACTGGTGAGACCACGTTTTCCTCCAGTCTTGGACTCTCCCATAAAAAGAGACATGGATCTGTTGGAACAAGTCCAGCAAAAAACCATGAAGATAATTAAGGAACTGGAATACCTGAAAGAGGAGAGTCTGGGACGGCTGGGATATTTCGCCTGAAAAAGCCAAAGCTCAGGAGGGATCCTACCAATGTATATAAATACATGGTTGTGGGAAGGTGAAGGAGATGGATCCAGACTCTTCTCTGTGGTGCCCCGTGACAGGACAGGAGTCAATGGGAACAAATTAAAAAAAAGGAAATTCCATTTAAATGTAAGAAAATTACTTTTTTTATCTTAAGTTATGAATATCAAGAATCCTCAATTAAGCAGTTCTTAAATATAATGTGGCATAAACAGAGCTAAGTAATGTAATTTAAAAATAGATTTGACATCTTTAAATCAATCCTTCTCCCTCCTTGTATGTATTAACAACTAAAGATATCTGCCTAGAAAGGGTAAAAATGTCTTTGGAGATGAAGTAACTGCTCATAAAGAGTATTATTTGTAATATGAATGGCTTGACCAGTTGATCCTAATGAGAACTGGATACTGTCATATTCACTTGGAGTGAGCTCTCTCAAGCTCAAGTTTTCCTTAGTGGATGAAGGTCCACTGAACTACAGATGGGCCTCCTCTTGCAAAACTTGTTTGGTGCTGTCATGCAGGCTCCAAATGCCAATGGTTACACTAGCTCTCAGTCGAAACTGTGATGCTAACCATATGGTAAATATGGAAATCAGATATTCAGAAAACACTGTGTTAAGTTTCCAAAGGCATTCAAGCCCAGTGAACCCCGCTGTCCCCCTCCTATATATTTCATGAAGGGTAGAAGGGCAGTTAGACCATTGACAAGTGTAGAAGTGAAGAAAGTCATTTTGACCTGAACCTACTCAGGTTCAGGTACTTCAGGCCTTCATCTGAACTCCCTAAATTGGGAACAGAGTGGCCATGGGTTTCCTTCTAAACAAAGCAAGAATGTTTCTCATGCACACAAGTCAGATAGGCATGTAAATCTAATAAAGATGAATCTTAGCCCAGAAAACTGTGTGCTCAGTTTGCTTGGCTGATAGCAGCAGAATAGCTGCAAGAAGCATTTAAGACAAACCACTAAAACAAGGTAGCTATTTTTATACTTCAGCATTACCTCAGCCCAAAAAAAAAGTCTTCCAGCAAAACCATAACACTATTGTGAAGTGACCTGATATTCTGCACCACATCATTTCCAGTCTGTGAAATAGTGAGAAATACTCGAAAACTTGCCTTTTTGACAGATTTCTAGAAATAGATTAACAATCAGGATGCTGCTTTTCACATGACACCCCCCTTGCGCATTGAGGTAACATCCACTCAAATACAGAACAATGAAAACAATTGTATTTTTCACCTCTCAAATGGACCAGAGAATACAGAAATTGGACCAGTTTGTTTTTCATTAAACTAGACATGTTTACAAGTAAGATGAAAGCAATACTTGCTGAAATGACCTCCTTCCCTCTGTTTGTAAGATTTATTGAAGGCAATATAGAATGGCAACAATAGTCAATCATTGGTGGCAGACTGCCCTTTTATTAGGCATAGTGAAGCCAATTAATCTAAGAGAGCTTTTTCCCTTCACCTCCTGAAGGCAGGTACTGCTAGAATGTATTCAAAAATTTTACAGGAATAAATAAAGGTGCCAAATTTGCTCATTTGAACTTTGAGAAATTATTTACAGGCACTTGAGATGCTAAATATTAACACTGTATGCTAACAGTCCACTGGGCAGAGTGCCTGCTGCTGTAATTTGCACAGAACCAAGATTTAAAATAAAACTTTAAAACATGGCTCTGTGATACTGCCATTCTCAGGATTATCAAGAAGAGGAAAGAATGCCTGTAAGAGAAAGGAAGAATAATAAGAACACTGAAATCTGGCTGTAAGTAAAGACTGCTGAGTTAATCAAAGATATCTTAAATAAGAATGCAAGGGAAGATCAGCTAGTGAACCAGTCGCAAGTTTAAAGCACAGAAATAATCAGTTTTTTGTGGTTCCTTTCTAGGCGCATGTTATCTGCTGTTTGTAGGAGATACCAAAGGCTATTTGAGATGAAAAGCAAGTATATAATAATCTTAATTATGGAATATCAGAACTCAAGGTGTCGTAATTCAGGTTCTAATTTCTGTGATCACTGATTCTAATTAGAACTATTGTAATACATGCTCTTTGGAGGCATATAAGACAAGTGAGAAACATAGTGGCAGCTCCTTTTTTTAGGGACACACAGTTAAACATTCCTTTATTCTTGGATTACCTCAAGCATCCTTCCAGGATTATCTTCACCATAAAATCGATTATAATCTTACCAGTTTCACAGCTGGGCCCAGTGAAGCCTTGGGGGCAGGCACACACATTGGACGCAATGCAGGCTCCTCCATTCCTACACCCATCTTTGCAAAATGCTGAAATAATAAAAGCAGAATATATGATTAAGAAGGAATTAATAAAATTACACTCCACAACTTGTGCAGAGGCACAACTTTTTGGGCTTCTAGCAGAGTGACACAAAACACAGTCCTGTAGTGCTGAGCACAGAGGCTGTTTTCACCTAAGGATAGAGGTCACGAGGAGATGGTTTATAGCCCCCCTGCCTCATTGGCCAGATGGTCTGACAAGATGAAGAGGGAGATTAGAGTAAATCATCTGAAGAAAACAGCCCACATATGTGCTTCTTCCCATGCACTGGAAAGCAGTGAAAGGGAACATCTTCCATAGCAACAGACCCTGCTTAGGGCACTGCTATTCTTCACTGCTTCCCAAATAAAAGCCTGAACTTAACAGGCACAATTAAGCAGTAAATTATCTGGCCTACCTGATTCCTAAATTCAGCAACTAGATCTAAACAATAAAAAGAGTAGTTTTGCTTCAAGGGATTTTAAAGAGGTTAGAACTTTGACCATTCACAGTTTGAAGTCGATCCTTGGATTTGTTCTTTGTCTTACATTGGAATCTAAGAAACTGCGCTCGCATATTTAAGTGAAACATTATCCAGATACAGCTGTCAATAAGTGTGTGCCTACAAGAACTCCTTCTGCTGACACATGAATGCAACCAGCTATGATATAAAATATGGCAGCTGTTTAATTGCTTTGATTGTATCTGTACTATGGAGTGAGCCATGCTGTGTTCACAAGAAATTACACAGGAAAACTGAGGGTGAAACTAAGTGGATAAAGGTTATCACCAATGTGAAGAGTGAAATTCTGCCCAAGAGCACTGGGGTTACCCTGCATTAGAGGTCAAGAGGTGCATCCAGCTCTCTGCAAGCCTTCAGCATCCAAACTAGGGCTATAGGGACGTACCTTTCTCAGAAGAGGATACACAGTCTCGGAGCCTTCCCCTGTGTACTCTCTTTTCAATACCGAGAAGAGAAGGAGGGAAGCTTTCCCTTTGCAGTGGGGCCCTCTGAAACACTACATCTGCATCACATCTTAGCCGGAATGTGGAAGAGCTGAATGCTGCTCTATGGTTAGGCAGCCTTCTTTGAACCAACACCTGTGTGTGAAGGGGCACATCCTCAACAGGAGGCCTGGGCACTATTCCCAAGCACAGCACAGGGCTCAGTTGCACAGACTGGGGGCTCCTCTGAGCCGAGTGGCTCTGGATTTTAACCTCCCCAGCCTGAGGTGTTTTCTCTCACATCCCAAAAGACAGATAACAGCAGAAACAGGGGTACTGGCTGACAGCTTCTCCTCTAGCCACGTGTTTGACTGCAAGTAGGTAGGGTACTGTGTTTTACAAAGAGCTCATATATATAAGGAATGCACAGGAAGAAAAAAAAAAGGTATACTAGGACTAAAGTGAAGGAATGGCTAGTACTAATATCTTAATTATGTTTATGAATTAAAGAAATACTGGGTTGCTTAGCCTCAATAATACACAGCAGAAGAATGCATCTATGGAATACAGATAGATTCTGATATCCAAGAGATGGGAGGATTGAGGTGCAGCTTTAGGGAATGCTGCATATGCCACTGCTGCAGCTAGATCATTTCTCATTGCTAAGCCAGTTCCATCACAGCTGTACTACCTGTACTGTCAGATATTCCCAAATCCTGTGTGAGGAGTCTGAAGACTTCTGAGAACTTGGGGCCAGTTACCAAGTATTACCTCCTCTGATGCAAAATACAACAGGAATTATAAAAGCAGCACTGTACCTTTAGAAAAACATCTGAGACGGTTAACAGTTTTTTTTGATCTTCACCAGTGAATGGCAATGTTAGAAAATAGCCAGCAGCTCCAGCTTTTCTGCTTTTCTCATTTACTGTGGAGAGTACCAAACAATCTTCCAGCAAAACATCAAATGACTGACAGTGGAAAATGTAGATTTGACAATATTTGCACAACTGTAATTTTGTTGGTAACACTGGCTTGTTTGAATGGGGTAGCAGTTATAGAAACTTAACTTGGGGCAGAAATGAAAAGTAGTGACTCCAAAGTTTAGAACATATTGTCTATATATGCAACATCCTCAAATTACTATGAAGGGTAAATTGCAAAGTTTCTATGTCCACTCATGAAGAGGCACAGAACCAAAATGTCTGGTATTTTGTCTGTCATCTTCAAGTCTGTGAACAGACTGGCATGAACTCACGCAGCTGAAAGGCTGCTGCCCGCAGGGCCCTCCCCAGCTTACCTTTACACACGGTCCCGTTGCCTGTGTAACCCGGCTTGCAAACGCAGTTGTGCCCACCCACGGTGTTGAAACAGAGAGCGTTTTCATCGCAGTTGTGCTGGTTTGTGATACACTCATCATGCTCTGAAAAACGAAACAATAATAGCACGTTCTCGAATTCTGCATACACAACAAAATAAAAGATTTATATAGGTTTCAGTGTTAAAAAGAGACAAGAATAGCAGTAGATTCTGAAGACAGGGCTAGGTGAACACGTAACTCTGGAATGAACAAGGGTATACATTTTTAGCACACATCTGTATAAGTGTGTTGCAGCATAACTCCACTTCATTAATGGGGAGCTACCATCACTACATTTTCTATGTTGGCTACAGTGTACCTGTAAACACTCACCCAAAAAATGACTAGCATACTACAAATCCGTATGTTAGATCTAATATACAATTTATTCATGCAGGTTAATCTTAATCAGGATTCACAGGGTTTCTTTCAGAAAGCTGACTCACGGTGTCAGTCACACAAACAAACTGCAAAAAATGCCATTAGCACAAGGCAGGACTTCCAAATGGAGCCCACACTCCCCGTCACTTCATGGTGTGCACCGCTCTCATCTTCATCCAGATGAACTAAGTAAACTGAAAACAAATATCCACCTTCTGCTCAGGGTTATGGGGCTTTCATCCTCTGGCACCAGTGCTCAATGGATCTGAATCTTCAGTTTGGTAACTAAATTTTGACATACTGGGGAAATAATACTTTTTGGATGAAATGAACAAGAAAGAAAGTATGATTTTGCGTTAACCTGAAGTGCACTGCTTAATTGGAAATTAAAATACATATATATATAGTAAGTGCTTAGGTTACTCAACATTTTAATATTTTAGCTTGCAATTGAAAAATAAAAGCAAAACATAATTCCAAAATAAGATGACATAATTCAAAAATAAGATGCTCTAAGTTATTATTTCAAAATGTCACATAAACTGATCCATCATCTTTGAAATGAAATATCGTAGTTCTAATGCAACAAAATGAAATGTTTCGGCCTGCTGGAAATCTTCCTTGCACTTTATCTAATTTATCTAACCATAAATAATTTCAGACTTTCTGGAATCTTTTATTTCAGGAAAATGGAACATTTTGGTGAAAATAAAAATTACACTATTTCAGTCAGCAGACATGGACTAAAGTGTGAGTGAGGCTTCCACAACCATCATTCTGTCCACGGTCTAACAGATTTTATTACTTTAGCTTATGCTTATTCTGTCTATCTATTTGACCCAAGTTTGAAATCTGGTACTGGATGTTCTCTCCTGCCTGGCTTTGGTTATTTCACATTGCTCTGAATCTTCCAGCTTCCAAATAAGAGCTGAATCCTAAATATACCTCACAGAGTGGTTGTGAAAATCATTTTGTTGATGTTTGCAAATCACTACACAAATGTTCAGCTTGCTATTTCAATACTAGCAATAAATTACACGAGTATATAACTGGCCAAATGGACCTATATGTCTAATCCAATAAAAGCTGTAAACTGACCTCTACCAATGGCAAGTACCGGTTTTTAAAAAGGATGAAAAATCATCAAAATAGAGCTAACTAATTTTAAATACCACACAGGGGGGGTTTGTTTTGTTTTATATAACACTTGTCTGATGCCACTCTTATAAACTTAAGAGTCTCTTATATCACCATATTGTGGTTAGCAGCCCTCACACCTTCTGAGCAATTCTCTTACTGAGTGCAGCAGAGTTGGGCTGCAGGCCTCTATCCTGAAGCATAAGATTTAATTCCTTTACTCTCAGAATGGTAACTAAAATTGTTAATGTTCAGCAAAAGATCTGGCCCGATTAGACTCCTGTTAAAATATTTTATTCTAATCCCCTGCCACAGTGTAACTGTTCTGCTGGCTGAAACAGTCCTTTTGTTAGATTACTTCATAAAACAACAAAAAAGTCACAATTACATAAATTAGCTACAAGTCTCTACAATAGCTACAATAGCACTCTGGATTTCTGTGTTACTATTGTGGTGCCATTTAAATAATACATACTGATTATTTTCTCGTTTTTAAAAGTTCCATTACACACACAACAGGCAATGAACTGTGGAGGCACGAGAAGCAGTACGCATCCAGCAGCAGACCCTGCACGGCCGTTGTCTCAGGGGTTAGGGAACGCACAACAATACATTACACCAATCGATTTGATTCAAAACACTGAATTTGGCAAATTCAGTGTCACACTGAACAAGAAGTGTGACCGGCCGCCACAGCCCTTGGGGATGCAAGCGCATCCCTGGCACACACCGCCTTTCTTTGCGGTGGATAAGGGTGTGAGAGCAGAGCAGCTCCGCTCATCAAGAGGAAGCGTCATTTGGCAGGGAACGGCGCGAAGCACCAGCCTGCAAGGGCTCTGAAAGCCAAAGGCAGGGAGGCTGGCGCGGCCTTTTTGCCAAACTTGCTCTCGTGTTTCCAAGGCAACAAGGTACTAAGCACGTGCATTTTTATATATGGGAATGGTATAGATGATTTTAACCTTTTAGCAGCTACGTAGCACAGCTTGGATTCAGAGGCAAAATGCCTTGTTCCCTGATCTGGCAGTAAGAAACTTCAGCATCTCATACCCTTCTGTAAAAGAGCTTTCAGAGGACGCCTGCTACCATTTCAGCAAGAGGGCCCAGCACGTAATCAAAACTGTACTATTATCAAAATATCCATCGCTTCTACAACTGTGACTACCTGCTCAAACTTCAGGTCTATTTTTCTTTTAAATCAAGCATTAATGACTTATGAAAAATTCATGGTTTTGATAAACGATTCTGAGATTGAAGTTTACATGTCATTAAATTGGAGAAAATGTCTTAGAATAAAAAGAAAAATTGTAATTCTGTTAAAGAAATAGACACTTTAAAATGATAGGAAAAGAATCAGCAAGTATATTTCACATCCTATCTAGATTTATTGTCTTTTATCATATGAATTAACCACACAATTAAAAACATGTAGATGTATTGCTGCTTCATATTCCCTGTTTCAGTTCCAGCTAGCAGCGCAAACAAAACATACATGGTACACTATGCGGTTTTGGAGAGATCTTCAAAACTGCTTTTCCATAACTCTCTGTTTGTTATAAGGTATGTCTGTCCAGTTTTATTAAATATAGAAGTATTTAACTGTAATTAAAAGGGTGCCTCTGTTCATAACTGTTCATAGATTCATGCCTATTACTTTGTTTTTTTCTTTCAAATAAAACTTTTGGAAGTCACTTTAAATGAAGAGGACATTACAGAAACTCAGCTCAGCAATCTTCAGTAGCAAACCAGGAATTGCATAAGCAGGTGTGATCATAAGTTACAAAGAAGTGAAAAAGTAATTTATAAAAGAATAATTTAAAAAGAACCATGAGTATGGTGTCTTTCTTCTACTTTATGTTCAAAAATAGTATGGAAACATAATCTGCATTGTTTAGAAATGTAAATACTGCTCAGATAGATACATTTCTAATGCTCCAAGAAGCAATGCTGAGCCTGCTTATTTCAAGCGTCTTTAGGAATAACCTGACACAGATGTAACAAAAGCCTTATGCTCATTTCCCTGCACATCACAGCCATGATAGGGAGCCCAGGTACAATAGCATTACACAGTCAAAGAAATAAAAAATTACTTTCACAGAGAGATTTTAATGATTTACAAATCTGAATTTGCATAAACTGATATTCCCAAAAGACCAAATGTACTGTTTCATGATTACTTCTAAAGCAATGTTATCTAACACATCTAAAATCCATTTTGCACTGGCCAGGACTCCATGCTCAACAGTATTAAAATTCATAAAATCTCTGGCTTAGGAATTGACTGAAGACTTAAATACAGTATTCATGTTGGCTAGACTAACTCTTGAATAAGGTCTTTCTAAATGTAAAATAAAAAAAATGCTATTACTCCTCTGTAAATACATATGAATGTTTCACTAAATAGCTTTCAAGACACAGATGACTTACAGAAATGCAGAAAGCACATGACTCAGTTATTTGCATTTATGTTGCAGCAAACAGCTCCTACACACACATGTGTACATATAAATATATTTAGATATCTTTAAAAATATACACACACATGCTTTATTTTACTTTGATTCATTTTGAAATACACTTTGGGACTATTTCATGTGGATTGTCTGACAAAGATGATATTAATTTATACCAAAAAAAAGACAGAGACTTTCTTGAAGGTGTGGAACATAAATTAAGCAAACGGTTCCTCACGACAATCCAGGTTAACAAGAAGATATGCACAGTGAAGTGCGGCATCCTAAGGAAAGACCCTGCTGGTGTGAACTGATGCAGACCCACTAACTCCTACACTCTGTGATGACAGTGCCCGTCTGCTGGGCATCTCTCATCAATTTTATTAGATGTCTGGAGACTCCTTCTGAACCAGGTAACACGCTCTCTATGAGGTATATTATCTTTCTTCTTCTTTTATTTCCCTAGTGCTGCTCAGCCTCTCTGCCCTTCCTAATGTGTTTTCCATGGTTAAAAGTAAACAGAAAACCTGTATAGCATTTGCTATGCATTATTCTGCTTGTGTATCATAAGGTTTTACCAACTCCTGAATTTTTATCTCATGCATCCAAATTTTGTAAGCATGGTTTTACCAACTCCTGAATATTTATCTATCTCATGCATCCAAATTTTGTAAGCATCTAAGAAAAAAAGAAAAAGAAAGAAACCAACAAACAAAATCCAATATCCAGCAGCAAGCAGGATTACACCTGAGTTGCACATTCAGCTACTAACAGGTAAAGAGTAATACGCTGACAGGTATTCCAAGCCATTCACTAACAGCATGGGAGAATAAGAGCTATATCCACACTTAAAACACAGAAATGCCTAAAAGAACACAAATATATAAATAAAATATGTTTCTCCAATTGTATTCTTGTAATGTCATGCAAAAGACATTCATTTTTGAGTGAGGAATTTGTGAACCAGAATTACATTAAATATATATATATTTATATTTTACATATATGTGTGTATATATATTTATATGTGTGTATATATATATAAATAGTATATATACATATGCGTATATATATATATGTATGTATACAAAACAG